CCCCCCCCCCCCCCCCCCCCCCCCCCCCCCCCCCCCCCCCGCTGACCCTGCCTCCGTGTCCAGGTGGGCGTCCAACACCTTCTCAGTCCGGGGGGGGAAGCCCCTGTGGATCGACCCCTTCGACCGGCGGGTCCAGCACATCTTCATAGACGACAACATCCGGCAGAACGACGAGGACACCATCGTCCAGCCCAAGGTCCAGACACACGCCTAACCAAGGACTTAGGACTTATTAACTCATTGGCTGCCAAAGACGTCTATAGACGTCAATTCAAATCCAACCGTTGATTGCCAAAGACGTCTATAGACGTCTTTTATGTTTTTCAAAGAGAGTGGCTGGGGGACGATCTGCTAAAGCTTGTCTGTAAATATCAGGCTTCTAGACAGAGTATGTAGTAACAAATTGACCCTCTAGGGGGCAGTGCCACTTTTGATGGGAGATGAGCATAGACTGTAGGCAAATAAGAAAAACGCAATGGTTTGCTATGCGAGAAATGGCGCCGGTGAGACGCAAGTTGAGGAAGAACGGAATAAGGTAGAAACACATTTTATTTCCTGATGAAAGAAGAGAGTCTACTCTTTCTTTTGGTGTGTTCGGTGTTTACATAGTCGTAGCACAAACTATTCTGTGGCTCTTGAGAAATCAGTCAAAATGCTAAAAAAAACTCTGGCAGTATGGGACTCTCTGTTCTGAAAATGGCTGCCAGTCAGCGAGTTAAGGGACTCCAGATGGGTTTCTGGTGAATGCAGTTGGTCTGATTCCTCCCATTTCTCCCTCTGTGTGGTTCTCAGGTCTTTTTGGAGCCGGACGGGTCCGAGACCCGAACGGCCTGCACCTCTGAGCTGTACGACGTGGCCCTGGTCCAGACCGACCTCCTGACGGCCATTTCTGACCGCGGATACTTCACCCGGCGCGTGCACATCTGCCTGGAGAACTACCAGAGGAACCTGCAGCCGAATGAGGACAGAGTGGGACTGTAGAGACTCCTGGAGAGTCACCACTGTGTTTGGGATCCAAAGGAGAGACCGGAGAGAAACCCACCGGTCAGAAAAACGTCTCCGGACAGCAGCCGCCCGACCAGAGCTCCGGGTTTAAGACGTTTTCGATGGGAGAAAATGTTACGGTTTGTCTCTGAGAACCAATCAGAGGCCGGGTTAGACAGATGTGGGCCAGATGTGGGGGTCAGACTTTTTTTTTTTTTTGCACTGACAGGTTTTATGATCCGAAAGCACTTTGTGGGAAATGTCGAACTAATCGGATTAGTTTTTCTCACCCTTTAAGCTTTAGATATATAGATAGAGATTTATATTACTGAAGATTTTAAGATGAGTTGATTTTCTCAGGTCAGTTTTAAAGACTCTGATTTAGTTTAGAGAGCGTCCAGTGGCTAAACGGACGGGGGTGGACACCACGAGGCTTTGTTTTCCGGTCTGTATTTATTTTTCTTTACATCATTGATGTATAAACATTAAAAAAAATGGAAGGAAATGTAAGAATGCAGCTGTGTGACATTTGGTTCATTTTAAAAGCTACTGATACTTTTTATAAAACTTGAAATCTCCAAAGAATGGGAAATAAAGTCAGTGTAAGAGTTTACTGTCGTCATTTAATTTAGTCCCACAATAGTTTCATCTGATAATAATATGGGATTTTCTATTTTCCCAAACAAATTCCAACCAAAATTGAACTTGGAGCTAGTTTGTTGAAGTTTAACCAGCATCACAATGAGCGAATACGGGGAGAAAAATATATTTCAATCAAATTTAGGATGTAATAACACAAAAAAAAGTTTTTTAATGGTTAAAATACGTTTGAAAAGAGCTTTAACGGCCGGAAGAAGGATCCTTTTTTGTGGCTTTAAGTTGTTCTACCGCATGAGGGCAGTGGTGGAGCTTTTGGATTTTGGAGCTCCACGGAACCCCCCCCCCCCCAGGTGAGTCTGGTTACCTGGTCCAGGCGACCGGTCACCGGGAACCGGACCAGTTACCGGGAACTGGACCAGTTACCGGGAACTGGACCGGTCAGGAGGGAAACTGGACCGGACAGTAGAGGAACCGGTCAGAATAGGAACCGGTCAGCAGCAGCTTTTCTGCGCGCCTGCGTAATTACGCGCGGATGGGGACGCGCGCGTGCGGGTGAGGGGGGGGGGGGGACTTTTACAGGCAGCGCGATGCAGACGACAGCAG